TGGTAGCGCGCGCCTGTAGTTCCAGCTACTTGGAAGGCTGAGGCAGAAGGATCGCCGGAGCACTGCAGGTCGAGGCTGCCATGGCTGGGAGCGGCCACTGCACTCCAGTCTGGGTGACAGAGTAAGACTCCAAATCAAAAAAACAAAAACAAAAACAAAACAACAAAAAAAGAAAGAACAGAGTTGTTGTTTTGTGATTATTCAAGCTGAGATGCAGGTTTTGGAATCTGACTACCTGGGTACAAGTCTCAGTTCCTGCTCTCAGTAGTTCCGTGACCTTGGGCAAGTCACTTCCTTTCTCTGAGCCTCAGTTTTTTCATCTGTAAAATGGAGGATGACATCAGAATGTACCACCTCCTGCAGTACCTTTTTTTTTTTGAGTTGGAGTCTCACTCTGTCACGGAGGCTGGAGTGCAGTGTCACGCTCACAGCCACCACAGCCTTGACCTGCTGGACTCAGGTGATCCTCACATCTCAGCCTTCCAAGTAGCTGGAACTACAGGCGCGTGCCACCACCCCCGGCTAATTTTGTACTTATTGTAGAGACAAGGTTTTGCCAAGTTGCCCAGGCTGGTCTCGATCCCCTAGACTCAAGCAATCCTCTCGCCTCCGCCTCCCAAAGTGCCGGCATGACAGGCGTGAGCCACTGTGCCTGGCTAGGACTGTCCCAGTTTTAAAACTAAAAGGGCTGTGTGCTGGGACCTTCCTCAGTCCAGGGCAAACCAGGACAGTTGGTCACTCTGTGGATACATCAGTTCAGGACCCTCAACTCAGCCCTGGCCCCAGCTCTCCCCTTGTCTCTTCCCCAGCTGGAACCAGAACTGAAGACCATCGAACCCCAGACCTCCATCGAGATCCAGGGTCTGGAGGCGGCCACTGTCTACGAGGTGTCCGGCCGCTGCCGAGTGGAGACAGAAGAGGATTTGTGGGGCGAGTGGAGTCCTCCTCTGTCCTTCCAGACGCCGCCTTCCGGTGAGGACATCTGGCTTGTCCCATATTCCCTCCTCCCCCTGGAGGTCCGTCGGGTCTCATCCCTCTTACTTGTTCCCTTCTCCTCATCCTCGCCAGCTCCAAAAGATGTGTGGGTGTCAGGGAACCTCTGTGGGACGCCAGGTGGACAGGAGCCCCTGCTGCTTTGGAAGGTGAGCCGTGGGGACCAGTTATACATCTCTGCACGTGTCAGGAAACTTCTAAGTAGTGAGGACATGAGTCAGAGCTGACTGTGCTGCCCTCTTGGGATGGCTTCAAGGATTCAAGGAAGGGGTGCCCTAAGAGGTCCTGGCATACGCTAGGCGTGGGGTGAGCCTGCGGGACCTGAAATGGGAGGATGAGTACAGTATTCCAGGCAGGGGGCAGCAGATAGAAACATCTGGAAGCAATTCCGGAGCTCGGCCACACAAAAACAACACTGTGCGCTAAGAGCTTGAATGCCAATGTCAAAAGGGAGTTCTAAGATGGCAGACAAGGTAGGCTGGGCGCGGTGGTGGCTCATGCCTGTAATCCCAGCACATTGGAGCCCAAGGCAGGAAGATTGCTTGAGGCCAGGAGTTCAAGACCAGCCTGGGCAACATAGTGAGATCCCGTCTCTACCAAAATAAATAAATAAACTTTTTTTTTTTTTTTGAGTCGGAGTCTCACTCTGTTGCCCAAGTTAGAGTGCAGTAGAGAGCACCACAGCCTCCCACTGCTGTGCTCAGACGATCCTTCCTCCTTAACCTTCCAAGTAGCTGAAATACAGGCACATGCCACCATACCTGGCTGATTTTCTGATTTATTGTAGAGACAAGGTCTTGCCATGTTGCTCAGATGGGTCTCGAACCCCTGAGCTCAGGCAATCCTCTCACCTCCCTCTCCCAAAATGCATGAGCCACCACGCCTGGCTAACAATTTTTTTTAATGGCATACAAGGGTGCAATTGTTTTCACACTGTTCAATCTAATGATATCAGTCTAATGATAAGAGATTATATAGCCTCACCAGTTTAAATCTGCGAGCACTAACTATGATATTAGATTGTATGGTCCTCACTAGTTCAAATCTGTTGAGCTCCTACTATGTGCCAGGCACTGCTACACTCAGACTCTCAGTAAATAAGGCAAGGAACAAAAGGGCCTGTACTTTCTTGGGCCACACCAACTAATATCATTAAACTTTTTTTTTTTTTTTTTTGAGTTGGAGTCTCACACTGTCACCCAAGCTGGAGTGCAGTGGCACACTCACGGCCACTCCAAGGTCGACCCACTGGGCTCTAGCGATCCTTCTGCCTCCGCCTTCCAAGTAGCCAGAACTTCAGGCGTGCACTACCACACCTGGCTAATTTATGATTTATTGTAGAGACAAGGTCTCTCCAAGTTGCCCGGGCTGGTCTCGAACCCTCGGGCTCAGGTATCCACTCACCTCAGCCTCCCAAAGCACTGGGATTACACGCTAAGCCACCAAGCCAGGCCATATCATTAGTCGTTGTTTTTTTTTTTTTGAGTTGGAGTCTCACTCTGTCGCCCAGACTGGAGTGCAGT